GCTTTTTGTCTTTTCTCTTTCGTCTCATCCCCTCCCCTCTCCCCCTCTCTCTCTCTCTCTCTCTCTCTCTCTCTCTCTCTCTCTCTCTCTCTCTGTCTCTTTCTCTCAGAAACTTCTTTTTGTTTTTCATTAACAAATTACTTTAAATAATTCTTAGAAATCATTTGATCAGATTCAAACAAGACAATTCCGTTCACTGTTTTGGAAAAGAAAACATCTCGTTCAGTTGAACTTTCCAATGCTCTGTGATGTGTGCTTGCTTGACAAAAATTATTTTTTTGTTAACTTGTTCAATGATGATATTATTGAATAGGTTGTCACCTTCTAGAATCTTCTCAGTCCCTTTCTTTTCTTCAAATTCGTCGTGGATGAAAATGGTCGTTTTCATCAGAAACGTTCCGCCCTTCAACTCTTCTTTCAACTTTCTCTCTCTCCCTCTCTCTCTTTCTTTTTGCTCTCGCCTCTCTCTCTCTCTCAACACATCTCTCTGACCAATAATTGTCTTGTGTGCCTTTTCTCCTTAACGGCTTGAGTCTGTCGGCTTTTGGTCGTCATCAAACTATTCGGCCATTGTCTTTTGAAAAGCGAATATGGTGGTTAGGAGAATAACTTCCGTGCCTTAAGCTGAAGCTCGATTTCTTTAAGAGAAACTTCAAAAAGAAAAAAACAGCACAAGAAATAGAGGCAAAACTCTTCAAGTTAAATGTTCAATTAATATTTTCCATCTTTCGCTCCTTCTATATCCCCTCCTTCTCTTTCTGTCTCCCTCCATATGCTTATGCATTTGCCGAGTTTATACATGTGTACATCCTCCCTCTCTCCCTCTATATATCCCATTCTATCTGTCTATCTAACTATATAAATATAAATAAAAAAAATATATATCGTTTTTCTCATCATTGCCACCTTCTTTCTTCCCTTATGCTCATCATGATGCGTAAAGCTGTCTGGTTCAGATTTGTTTTGCTTTTCCTCCAACCGAAACTGTGTTTACCTAATTTGGACAACAAAAATTCTGAAAGAGAAAAAGCTCAACATAGATCGTTTACTTCTCAGAAAGAAAAAAAAGAAGGAGAATTCTTATGAGATCTGTTCATACTTCCTCGCTCGTCCTCCTCCCACCATTCCAACCTTCTCCCTCATTTTCTCTCTATCTCTCTCTATCTACACTTCATGCACAGCTTATTCTATACATTCAATCAAATGGATTTTTTAATCAAAATTTTTTTTTCAATTTTCATTCGTCAATCCACGTCTATCAATCACTCTCCTTTTTTCACGTAAAATTCCACGTAAAGGTTTTTTGTGTTTTTTTTTCATTTTTCTCGATTCTGCTGCTGCTGCTGCTGTTGCGACCGCTGAATGATATCTTCCATATGCAAATTTCCACTTCTTTTCACTTTCATTAACCATCTCTATCCCTCTCTTCATCTTTCTCTCTCTTCTTCTATAATTTCCTCTTCATTTCTCATTCTATCTAGCTATGGCACGTATTTTGAAAATCATTTGAATACAAGTACATGAGCAGGATGGTTGCATCTACCAGTTCGTCCCTCCTCCTTCTCATCTTGCCTCTAGCTCCCTCCATCTCCTCATCCTCATGCAAATTCTTTCGCTCTAATGTCTTTGATCACTTTATAATATGTTAATATGGATATATTTATATATAAGCTGATGATCCATTTGCAGGTAATTGATTGATTGTAGAGGAATATAATAAATAACAAAAAAAGGAAATATATCAGAGAAATAAGGAATGGACGATGAGTATGATGAGATTATACCATTATCCTTCTTCCGACAGGATATAACAGTTGTTATCGTCTATTCTGTATTCTATGGACTTGTCTTTATTATTGGTATGATTTATAATTATTATTATTAATATTAAAATATTCATTTATATCATTTCAGGACTGTTAGGCAATGTGTTTGTTGTTCTGGCCGTTGTCTCACATGCTCAATTACGAAGTACAACTGATTATTTGATTTCTTCATTAGCCCTCGCTGATCTATTGATTATATTGTTTTGTCTTCCAACAACATTACTCAACAACATCTTAACAGGTTGGCTAGCTATCTACATATCTCTTCGTACTCATATCTCCTCCCCCACCGCTCCATCCCACACAAGCTCTCATGCCTTGGATCTTAACACTTCTTGTAATCTGACGTCAGATAGAGCTTTCAACTTCCTCATTGAAGAAAGTCTTTTTTCTACTTCTACTTCTTCTTCTTTTTCTTCTACTACTACTACTTCTTCTTCTTCATCTTCTTCTCTTCCTGCAAAGTTCTTTTTGCCATGCCGGCGTTCGGACACCTTCTATGTCTCTTCTCTTCTTCCATCAATACCTTCATCTCTTGTTCACATGCCCACTTTTCTCTTTTTTTTCTTTTCTCTGCCGTTTAAGCTCATTTTATTCTATCAGAATGGCACTTGGGAGTTTTGTTCTGTAAGATGTCAACTTGGGTCAATTCAACAACATCATGTGCTTCCATCTATACGTTGGTTGCTGTAACTGCTGATAGGTAATTTCCTTTCGTTGATTCTTCTATCGTCTGACCTAAAAGCTCAAAAAACTTCTTTAATTAACACTGTAAACGTCTTTAATTATATTAATTAAGATATTTGGCAATTTGCCATACCCTCAAGTATACATTATGGGAGACGACCTATACCTTATATGCTATTGGAGCTATCTGGATAATCAGTGGTGTGTTAGCGATTCCAAATTTGTTTAGTATGGACGAGGTATATAACTATGAAAAGCAAGTCTTAATCAATTATATATTTCTGTACAGGTTAATATGGTTTATAATAACCAGAACTTGACAGTTTGCATTGCATCATCTGATCAGAAGGTACATCTCATATGCATATCCTCTCATCTTCATTATTCCAGTTACATTTTCTCATTGTTAACTTAACATTAGCATTTGTTGTTCCATTTTTACTCATTTCCGTCTCATATACAAAGATCTTCATAACTGTCTCTAATCATAGAAGTCTGGCTGTGGATGCTCATGTAAGTTCATTTTCATTTCTCAAATCATTCTCATTCACAATCCTTTCAATATTCAGATACGCGATGAACGCGTGAAAATGAGAGTTGCAACCATGATGTTGACTGTTATTGTCGTTTTTGCCCTTTGTTGGCTTCCTTTATATGGTTTGATCTTTATCTTTCACAAAATTCTTTTATTTTGACATATTTTGAATCTTTAATTCGTTCTGCTTGCCTAAGCTTGCCTTTAGCCTTCTCAGGCTCAACTGGAACGTTTAACCTTCAATAAGCTTTACGCTGGAACGTTTATCGTTTACCACCAAATAAGCAAAAGCAGCTTTTCCTTATTCTCACATTCACACTCTCTCTTATTCTCATGAGCTCTTTCTATCGTCGTCGTTGTCGTCGCCGTCGCTTCGCGCAATATAGCGTTCCAAACAGACGGCGGCAGCTGAAGGAAAGGCTGAAGAATAATTTCGACGGAAGAGATTCATGAAATTAGTTGAATTACGTTTTTAATTTGGCCAATAACATATTCAATGCGCATCTAACTATTCGCAGAGATTACTTGATGCCATATTTGGCTAAAGATGAATGAGAAGAGAAAATTTCAAATAAAAGAATTGCATGAGGGCATACATTCTTTAAAATGAATCTCTTCATTTCATAAAATGACTCACATATTTCAGGTATTTACATTTATTTCTTCTTTTTTTCTGATCATGGGTCCTACATGTTCTTGATTGCATCACAGGTATAGTTGTTCTTCCTCTCTTTCTCTCTCTCTCTCTCTCTCTCTCTCTCTCTCTTTGCTACTATCATTATCGTTTTGGTGATTTTACCTGTTAAGGTGTTGCGACCTTTATTCCAATGGTTAGCCTTATCAAGCAGTTCCCTCAATCCGTTTATCTACATAGCGTATAGTCAGAAATACCGCAGAGCTTTTCATCGAATACTTCTTTTACCATGTCGATCCAGGTATTATTGTTGAATACCTTCTGTTGTCAGGTATTGTACTCTTCCTACAGATATGAAAGAGTACGAGGAACTTTGCTCAGGACTCACGATAACTCAACATCTCAAGGACAATTCAAGAAAGTTTTTATTTCATATTCTTCATTATTTGAATGCTTATGCTTAGAATTCATTAATGGATATCAGTACGAATTGTGTTGGAGCATCAACTATGGCTTCTGGTGTACTGGATGGTTCAGCTTCTCCAATGCTCACAATTCTCGAAAGTCCGAAATCGGATAGGAAAGCCGGTAATAATCACCTTTTCATGAATCTCAAATCAATCTTTCCCATTACAGATACTGAAGCTAGTGAATGAGCTTCTCAGAGATTACGTGAAAAGTTCAACAAAGTTTATTTCACATGATGAATGACGTCATCAGCTAGTTAATGAATTCTTCAAATTGATAACTGCTCAATCAATCAAGTTACGCTTATCATTGCCTACAGAATCATTAGTTAAGCTAAAAAGAAAGTAGAGAGAGAGAGAGAGAGAGAGAGAGAGAGAGTTAGTGATAGAGAGAGAGAAAGAGAAAGAGTGCAAAAGAAAGAGAGAACGATAAAAAGAGTATGTGTGAGAGATTTAGAGAGTGTAAGTGAGAGAGGTGTTTCTTCATTTGCAAATTGTCTCATTGTATATTCGATGTGGGTACATGTGTACGAGTAAGCTTTCATATATTATATTCTTTTATTTATTATTATTGTTATCTTCATCTCTATTCATCTGATTTCGCCTACTCTTATAATCATTTTAGGAAATATTTTATTTTTTCTTTCTTATCTTTCCTTCTCTTCCCTATACCCCAACCTTCCTCTTCTATCCTTCATCCTTCATCACCCAATTCATTCTCTTCACCCCAAAACACAGATATTCGTGTGTCAAATAAAACTCTACAAGCTTTATTCCAGCTTTTTTCCATTAAAAGAAAAGAACAGAAGAATGATTTTCTCTCAAGGGGCTTTACTTCAACTATCGATTCAATTACCTGACGACTAACACTCACTCAATCCATTTTCATTCTTAAAACAAAGAATTCTTCAGATGGAAAGGGAAAAATATTTCGAATTGCATTTTGTGTCGCGTGAAAATTAAACTAACAAACTAGCCTTTGTTGAGAAAAGCAATGGAAGACTTCCCTCTTACTCTCAGGTGAGTTACAGTGAACGTTTACAAGATAACTACCAATGTAAATTGATATGTGAAGGCTTGATACCGAACATGTGGATCATGCTCCTTCAGATGAAACTCAGAAGTCATGATGAGAATCTGAAGATGATAAAATTGTGAAAGTTCGTCATCATTTGAGGAACTGTTTGAATATGAACTTTGTTGTGGAACATTGTATTAAGGAATTAGATGATTTATTTTAAAAAAGCAAC